GGCTTGTGCACTGGGAGGACCCCATGGATGAGTCCCTGGGCCCTGTCCCCTGCCACTGCTTACCCCCTGAGGGCGCCATCACCAAAGAAGGCATGCTGCATTACAAGGCGGGCACCTCGTACCTGGGCAAGGAGCACTGGAAGACTTGCTTCGTGGTGCTCAGGTGGGAGTCCCTGCAGCTTTGGCCTTAGGCTGGGCCCTGAGGTGGTTGGACCGTTAGGTCCCCAGCAGGGAGCTCTTTGCGGCAAGTCACTGAGGAGAGGTCGGTGGCTCCCTCCTCCACAGGGCTTTGGAACAGATATATCCCAGGATGTCAGAGCTTCTCTGTAAAGCCAGCCATCTTTGGGAGCCACAGAAGCCCACCTAGAATGCCTTAGGTAAAGACCTAGGCGGGGGCTGCCGCGAGCTGTCCCCAGGTGAGCCGAGGGAGCAGTTCTTTCTGCACCCTCCCTTCCACAGAAGACAGGCCCCTGGCCTCCCTGGCCTCGGGGGTTCAAGGCCCCAGTTCGTGGGGAGTTGCAGGGATCTGGGCTCTACCTGGTCCCCAGTTTCTCTCAGGCCTCACCCCTGCGTGTCGTACCCCTGCAGCAATGGGATCCTCTACCAGTATCCTGACCGCACCGATGTCATCCCCCTGCTCTCGGTGAACATGGGGTGAGTGTCCCGGGTGATGGGGAGGGACAGGTGTTGGGGTCTGGCATCGCTGCCTGAAGGTCAAGGCTCCGGCTGAGCCTGGGGTCAGGGCTCCTGTTCTCCTTTGCTTTAGCTGGCGCTCCGTCTTGTCAGTTCAGCCTGGCCCCTCCGCCCGCCCCCCATCCAACAGCCCAGCCAGTGCCCTGCCGAGCTCTGAGGGCTCCAGGAACCCCAGGGAGGAGAAGAGGGCAGGCTTCCTCTCAGGGAAGCAAGAAGAGCTTCTGGCTGGAGAGGGTCCAGCCTGATAGGGGGCAGCCCCTTCCCTGGGAAGCCCCTGTCCTGATGGGGAAGATGAACACACACACAGTTGGAGAAAACGTTGGGCCTGTAGCAGGAACGTGAATGAATGCGCACTGATTCTGAAAGGACCAGAGCTAAGAGCTGATTCTCACCCCTCACCTGGCCACGTTTAGGTATCTAGAAGGATCTTGGTGATTCTGAACATAAAAGGTGTTACACAGAAAGGAGCGGGGCTGCCTAGCAGCTTTAAGCCTCTCCGAGCCGGAGGGGCCTGGACGACCTCCTGATGTCCTCCTGCCCTTGGGACTGTGGGGCAGGCCCTGTGTCCACACGCCTTGAGCTACCCTTGCCTCCTCGCCCCCCTTTCACCCCTCCTCCTCTGGCCCAGGGGGGAGCAGTGCGGTGGCTGCCGGAGGTCCAACACCACGGATCGGCCCCACGCCTTCCAGGTCATCCTTGCCGACCGGCCCTGCCTGGAGCTGAGCGCCAATAGCGAGGCTGAGATGGCCGACTGGATGCAACACCTCTGCCAGGCTGTGTCCAAAGGGGTGAGCTCCTGCCTCCACGTTCACCTGACCTCCTGACCCCATCCCGCGTCCCTGCCTCAAACCCACACCAGTCATGGAGCTGTGAGGACCAAGACGGGACCTCCTGGGGATAGCCCAGGAGCAAATCCTAGATCCAGGGCTGCCTGTAGCCTGGACACTCCCACTGTTGCCCCATCCCACCTGTACTCCTGAGGTGGGCGGAGCCTGCCTGACCTCTGGAGGGAGGGGCAGAGGGGCTGGCTGGGCCCCTGGAATGGGGAGTCCTGGTGCAGACCAGCACCTGGAGCTCCAGCTTGCTTCTTGCCGCCCCTCTGCCAATGCCCTCCAGGTCATCCCCCAGGGGGTAACCCCCAGCCCCTGCATCCCCTGCTGCCTGGTGATCACTGACGACCGCCTCTTCACGTGCCATGAAGACTGCCAGACCAGCTTCTTCCGTTCCCTGGGCACAGCCGAGCTGGCTGACATCAGCGCCGTTTCCACGGAACCGGGCAGGGAGTACTGTGTCTTGGTGAGCCGGGTCGGGGGCAATGGAGGCAGGCCCTGAGGAAGCGCTATGTCTGCTCACCGGGGCCCCGGCTCTCCCCAGGAGTTCTCCCGGGACAGCCAGCAGCCCCTGCCACCCTGGGTCATCTACCTGAGCTGCACATCTGAACTGGACCGATTCCTGTCTGCACTGAACTCTGGGTGGAAAACCATCTACCAGGTACCTAGCTGCCCAGGGCCCTGAGGAGCAGAGCCATTCCCTACGGAAAGGAGCCCTGCATGGCACAGACCGAGGCAGGAGCTGGCCTGGGGACAGCACTGCACCTGTGGCTCTGGGACAGACATGAGCATTTAGGACCCAAGGGCAACCCTGACTCCCAGTGAGTCTGAGACTAAAGCTGAAAGTGGAACCCAGGAAACACCATTCCTGACCTCGGTTCCAGTCAAAAAGCACAAATTAAGTGCTTGCGGTGGGGCTGAGGCAGAGCCCTTCCAGGTAGGCAGGACACCCTCAGGTGTGGGGCAGACTAGCCCAGGGCCTGCCGCGTGGGCCCGCCTGAGGGCTGGGGTGCTCCCGAAGGAGGAGGCTCAGGGAGCATCACCCCGGCGTCAGCTCGAGCCCCTCCTTGAAGGACAGAACTTAGTGTGTGCACATAGTTCCCCGACCAGGCTCCACCTGGTGCGGAGGGACTCCATGGCCCTCACGGGCTCCCTGCGTGCCCCCACACAGGTGGACCTCCCCCACAAGGCCATCCAGGAATCCTCCAACAAGAAGTTCGACGACGCCCTGAGCCTCATCCACAGCGCCTGGCAGCGCAGCGACAGCCTCTGCCGAGGCAGAGCCTCCCGGGACCCCTGGTGCTGAGGCGGTGCTGGCTGGCATCCCGGTGGGGCAGGAAAGGGACGCGCGCTGAGCAGCACACGGTCACGACTGCTGCTCGGGGGCCAGACTTCCACCCGTTCCACAGCCCCCTCCCGCCCCAGGCGGCAGAACCACCGAGCGGGGCTCGAGACAGGGTCTGTCCCCTCCCAGGGACCCAGAATGGGTGCTCAGCACCCCTGGGCGTCCTGCCGGCAGGTGGGCACTGGAAAGCGCGGGGCAGAGGGCCCGAGCCCTATGGGCTCTGTAGTTGCACAGCCTTCTCCCCAGGGCCACGGCCTCCGTCAACGCCATCTTCAGGCTGCGATGAGGACAGTGCGACTCTGAGGGGAGCAGAAGGCATGGGCGAGCAGGAGCCCCTTCTTCCTCTTCTGGGCCCGGGGCCCGGGCAGAGGCTCAGGCCACCTGAGGCCCCGAGCGCCGGCCATCCGTGTTCGTGTTTGAACGTGCACCTGGCTGTGTAGGAAAGCTGGGACACTCAGGTCTCAGTGCATGTCTCCTCGTCACTGACTCCACCCCCAGGTGCACTCTGCCTGCCTTCCAGGGCCGGGGGCCAGAGTGGCCCTGGCTGCCAGGAGGCCCTGCATGCCCATGGCCCCCTGCTCCTGCCTCTCCCCGAACCTGGCAGTGCCCGTGGACCCAGCTTTCGCCAGGAGCAAAGGGGAGGGAGATGGGCTTGGAGAGGAGCAGAGCCCACAGCCTGCTGTCCACGTTGGTGCCTGACCGTCCCCTGCTTGACTGGAGCTGGGCCCTTCCCAGGGGCCCTCTGGGGGAAGGGGTTAGGTTGTCTGGGTTTTGTTTTTTTAAATAAAATAGACATGTTATATTGCCAAGACATCACTGGCCTTTTTTGACCAGGGTGGAGGTGGGGGATCTCCAACCCCTCTTCTCTGGCCCCTCGGCCCTTCTTTCTTCATCCTCCAAATGGTCCATCAGCTGCCCTGTGCTCACACTGGGAACCAGGTCCCCTGCGGCTCCCATGGCACTGGCTGTCGAGTTTCCTGGCCAGACCACTGCTCTCCCCTCTGTTCCCTGCAGTGGCCAGGGCAGGGGCATGTCTCCACTGCCAGGGCAGGGCACTGCCTCCCCAGCCTCCCCAGCTCGGAGGGGTGGGGGGTCAAAGCCAATCCCTCGGGATAAACCCGAAAGAGTTCCAGCCGTTCCCGTCCCCTCTTGTTGAGCTGCTGCCCTGGGGGCTGGCCAGAGGATGCCAAGCCTGCCGGGCTGGGGGAGCTCTGAGGCCCTCAGGCCATTCAGCACTGTGACTTCCAGGGCCTCTCGCCTGGGAGGAAAGGAGTGGATACAGGGAGAGGTGGGTGTGGAGGCTACAAAGGTGGGGTTCCAGGCAGGGCAGCTCTGCCTCTGGTTTTAACTGGGACGTGGGTGATACAGGGTGGCCCTGACAGGAGAAAACTGATCTGGGGGTAGAAGCCAAGGTGGGCCGGGTGGTGCTGGCCCCTGACCTGAGCAGCCTGATGCCTGACAGCGGTACCCAGGGGTAGAAGGTCCTTTCTCACCAGGCACAAAGGACTTTTTCCATGCCCGGGGCTCTCCCGAGAGCCACAGCCCAGGAAGGGCTCCCACCAGGAGGAGGGTAAGGCGAGGGGGCAAGTCCTTACCAGGTAAGCAACCAAAGCCACTGGTCACTCCTTGAGACATGACAACCCTTATTTTTACCCAGGGTGCCCCAGGAAGGGGAGACGTGGGCCACCTTTTACTGGGTGAAGCACTATGCTAGGCCTGCTATTCATGCATCTCTAATCCTCCAAAGAAGCCCTGAAGTGGGTACCAATATCCCTGTTTTACAAATTGAGAGACTAAAGCTCAGAGAGAAGTGACTTGCCGAGGTCACACATAATAGCAGAGCCTGGGATTCAGGATCAGCCCCTCTACCTCCGCTCTCACTGACAGTGGGACCATAGGTTGCGGGAGCCAGATTGAAAGACTGAGGCCAGGAAAGGAGCTGTCACATAGACAGCAGCAGGGGTGGGAGTGGGGCAACTGCCCAGTTGCCCAGACTCCCTGTGCCAGGAGCCTCCCCCGCAGTTGCCCCACGCCCAGGGCTCTGAGCTGCAGCAGCACTGGCTCAGCCAGAGGCGGGGTGGGGCACCAGCCCTTTGCCCCAGGGAGGGCAGGAGGATAAGAGTGTCAGGAGGAGGTGTCTCGGTTGATTGGCACCTTCTCCCCGCCCTCAATCTCCCACTAGTCCCAGGTGACCTTTCCCCCAGATCCCAGGGTCCAGGCCCGCCCCTGACGGGAGGTGTGGAACACAGAAGCAGCTGTGATTGGTCAGAGGCGGCGGGGGTGTGTCCCAGGCGCCCACAGCCAGGCAGCTGAGCTGAGCAGGTGGACTCCCAAGACAGACCAGGGACAGATCAGGGGTCGCCTGGCAGCGGCAGGCTTGTCCCACTGGATCCCTTCCCTCCAGATATGGCCTCAGGCCCCCTCGATCTCTAGCCCTGTGGCCCTTAGAGGGTGCAGACAGCCTAGGCGCCGCCACCTCAGGGCCCGTGACCATGCCTCTGACGCGAGCACAGCCGGTCGCTGGCGCGGAGGAAACAGAGACAGTGGCCCCAGCTGTGGACCTGGTGCTGGGCGCCTCGGCCTGTTGCCTGGCCTGCGTCTTCACCAACCCCTTGGAGGTGGTGAAGACCCGGCTGCAGCTGCAGGGGGAGCTGCAGGCCCCAGGCACCTACACTCGGCACTACCGGGGCTTTGTGGCTTCCGTAGCCGCTGTGGCCCGTGAAGATGGGCTGTGCGGCCTGCAGAAGGGACTGGCCGCAGGCCTCCTCTACCAGGGCCTCATGAACGGCGTCCGCTTCTACTTCTACAGCCTCGCCTGCCAGGCTGGCCTCACCCAGCAGCCAGGTGGCACTGTGGTTGCAGGTGCTGTGGCTGGGGCACTGGGAGCCTTCGTGGGGAGCCCTGCTTACCTGGTGAGTGCCTTGTCTCCATCCTCCACTACCCTGTGACCCAGTTCCCTCTGGGGCTCCGAAGCTTCCAGGCTTGCTTCAGTGGACAGGTTGGGGGGCAGGCTGTTCCCTAGAATATCGTGGCCCTGGCCTGGAATCTGCCCCTTGCCCCAGGGCACCAAGGCCTTGCCCCATCATGGATTATCAATCATCGCTCTCCTGGGGTCTTCGTCCTGCAGGTCCTGAGCCAGGGTAAGGGCAGGGGGTAGCAGGAGGTGTGCTGGCTCAAACCAGCGTGGTCACTTGTGTGGCCTTGCAAGTTAAGAATAAAGCTTCCATGGAGTGAGGGCCCCACATCCTAGTCTGGCCGCAGTACCATTATCATCTCCCTCAGTCCTCAGAAAAACTTTTCAAGGGTAAGCAGACAAGCTGGAGAAGGTTAAGTGACTTGCCTCAGGTCACACGAGGTGCAGATCCAGGCCAACTCCAGAGGTTCACCCCAGCCCTGATCCACACGCCCCCTTGGCCACAGGTGTGGGCTCATGGAGGTCTGGGTATCTGGGCCCAGGAAGAGATGCCCTCCACACACAAAGCTCAGCCCTCTCTCACCTCTGCTCTCACAGGTCAAAACGCAGCTGCAGGCTCAGACGGTGGCTGCGATAGCCGTGGGGCACCAGCACCACCACCAGGTGGGACTGTCACCCCCATAGCTCCCGAGGCCGGGTGGGCGCCTGGGCTGGCAGGGGCTGCCCAGTGACCCTGTGCCCTCTCCCCGCAGAGCATCCTGGGTGCCATGGAGACCATCTGGCGGCAGCAGGGCCTGGCAGGGCTGTGGCGGGGCGTGGGTGGGGCCGTGCCCCGAGTCATGGTCGGCTCTGCTGCCCAGCTGGCCACCTTTGCCTCTTCCAAGGCCTGGGTGCAGGAGCAACAGGTGAGGGGCTAGGGCCACCTGTGCCCACGCACACAGACACACAGGAGCGAGGAAGGCCACTTGCCTCCTTTCTCCCTATCTGTCTGGACCCAAGCCACACTCTGACATCTCCAGCTGGACCCCCACATAGGGACTCCCAGGGGATAGGGACACACGGGGCCCCTTATGACCCTTGGGCCCAGCAGGAGAGGAGGTCAGCAGTGAACGCAGAGGCCGTGAAGGAGCTGGGGAGGGGGGAGAGTTTGGGGCGGGGAATGGCTGGAGGGGCCTCGTCTCCTCCTCTTCCCCCAGCTCTTCCAGCCCGCAGGTGCCGGGAGGGTGGGTGGAGGGGCAGCTGCGGGTGTCAGCAGCCTGTGCCGTTCCCGCAGTGGCTCCCGGAGGACAGCTGGCTGGTGGCCCTGGCTGGTGGCATGCTCAGCAGCGTAGCTGTGGTCGCAGTCATGACCCCCTTCGACGTGGTCAGCACACGGCTGTACAATCAGCCTGTGGACGGAGCTGGCAGGGTGAGCAGGGGACCGGTGGTGAGGACGTGGGGAGCTGGAGAGCATCCCCCCAACACACACACACACAGGCCACAGACACACAGGTACGTGACATAACATACTCGCAGTCACATTAATTCAGTTTGTGTGCTGAGCATTCATGTCCCAGGCACGTGCTAAGTACTTTCACATCTGGATTTTATTCTATCCTCACAACCACCTTCAGTTTTCTGATGATGAAACGGAGGCTCAGAGATAACAAGTGACTTGCCTGAGGTCACCCAGCTGGTTAGTGGAGGAGACTGAACTGGAATCCAGGCGTGACCCCACGTCCTCACAGACACATACCGGCCATCATGTACACTGGTACAGTGGTGCCCAAACACAGGTGCTGTGCACAGGCTGTTCGGGAGGAAATCCACCTGTGTGCCACTAGTCAAGCTGAAACCCTGGCGTGGGGCTGCGGCTGCCTGGAGGAAGAGACCCCTTTTTTCATTTCATAACCCAACGGGCCATCTTCCTATAATTTTTCTAGCTTGGGGGGGGAGTACCTTTTCGGATGTGCCTCAGAAGCCCATACACACAGACACCCTGTTGCTCCAGCCTGAACCCCACGGCCCCTGTAATGATGCCCACCTGTGTCTGTCCCCAGGGCCAGCTGTACAGGGGCCTCGCTGACTGCCTGGTGAAGATCTGGCGGCAGGAGGGCCCCCAGGCGCTCTACAAAGGCCTGGGCCCCGCCTACCTGCGCCTGGGCCCCCACACCATCCTCAGCATGCTTTTCTGGGATGAGCTCCGGAAAGTGGCCGGACAGAGCCAGCACCAGGGCACCTAGGTGGCGTCCCTCGCCCCCGAATCCTGGAGCAGCCCAGCACCCCGCGCCAGCTGGGGATGGCCACCTCAGAGCCTGCCACAGGTCCGAGGACAGTGTGCACAGCTCTGGTCAACCCAGCCCCGTGGCCCACCAACCTGCTCCAAATCACCACCCTCTTTGTTTTCCAGGAAGTTCCCTTCCCTTCCTTCTCTGTGTGGGGTTGCCTTGTCCCAGAGCCTTGCTCATCGTTATAATTACTGCTCCCGAGCATCACCATGAGCTGGGGCACTTCCATGCCTCAGCTTACTTTGTCCTCGGACAACAGTGTGACACAGTAAAATCCTCTGTTACTGATGAGGAAGCTGGGGCTCAGAAAGGTGAGGTGCTTTGACCAAGTGGCAGAGCCGGGGCTGGGGAGCTCTGCCCAGAACTGTGCCCTTGGCAAGAACCAGGACCATGGGGACTGGCGGGCCCTGAGGGATCACTACACACGCGAGGGGGCCTTGGGGTCATCATCTGTGTTAGTCTGCTAGGGCTGCCGTAACAAAGTAACTCAGACTGGGCGGCTTAAACAACAGAAAGTTATTTCCCCACAATTCTGGAGGTCAGATGTCTGAGATGAAGGTGTCGGCAGGGTTGGTTTCTTCTGAGACCTCTCTCCTTGGCTTGTAGATGGCTGCCTTTTCCCTGTGTCCTCACATGGTCTCCCCTCTGTGTGTGTCCATGCCCTAATCTCCTCTCCTTATAAGGACACCAGTCATGTGAGATTAGGGTGCACCCTAGGATCACCTCTTTAAAGACCCTGTCTCCAAATACAGTCACGTTCTGAGGCACTGGGGGTTAGGACTTCAGCACAGGAATTTGGAGGAGGGACACAATTCAGCCCACAACGCCAACTAGAGGGCTTTTACTGAGGCCCCTGAGGTGCCCAGCGCTGTGGGCATTTACACAAAGCCTCATGATAAACCTGAAAGGGAGCCCTTGAGATGCCCGTTGTTCAGAGGAGGAGGCTGATGCCAAGGGCGGGGAGGTGACGTGCCCAAGGTGAGTCACAGAGCTAGGTGTCTTGCTCCTGCCCTTTTCCCCAAGCTGTAGCCACCCACACTCCCCGCATGGGCGTGTAGTAGGCCGGCGCTGACCTTTGTGCTACACAGGACACCAGAGTCCTAGGGAGGGGCAGGACTGGCCCAGGTCAAGCAGCCTGAACTAGCTTCCGTGCCACACACCCCATGTCTTGGAAAAGCTGTTCCCCAGGGGCACTCCTACCACACACTCCAAACAAATAAAGTTTTCTATTTTGTTTACTTCAATGACTGCTCTGCAGGCAGCCTCATCTCCTCTGCCCCTAAACGCCCCACCTTGGCTCTCTACCTCGGTCTCCCCCCACCCCTCTCCCCAGACCCCCCCTGGTTCTCTACCTTGGTCTGGGAAAGGAGGAGGAACCAAAAGAATTCCATAGGCCAGCCCCACCCATCCGGCCCAGGGGAGGCCTGCCACCTAGCGGACACATGGAGGGTCATCAAGGTGGGCTGCCCTGTGGCTGCGAGGGGGCGGGCCCCAGAGCTGGATCCCAACCTCGGCCTGTGGGGGGATAGACGGCCCCCTCTAGACTTGGGGCTGAGAGAGCAGAGCCTGACCTCGGGAATATGGGGGGGTAGATGTCCCCTTCTAGATCTTGGGCTGAGAGGGCAGAGCCCAGACCTGAGGCTAGTGGACAACAGATGACGGATGACAGACAAGGCCAGGGGCTTCAGGAAGGCACTAAGGGAGGGTGAGAAAAGTGGGCGCCAGACTTGGGCAGGAACAGAGACAGAGACTAGCCCCAGAGGTGCCCCTGCGCCCCACGCTGCCAGATGAGGAACACCTGGGCAACACTGTCAGGTTTAAGGCCCCTGGCTCTCCTCCCCTCCCTGCCCTGAGATTTTGACCCCTCCCACGCCGGTCCTCTTGCCTCCACTCGCACCTTTGCCCCATGACGTCAGTCTCTCGGGTGCAGAGCTGGCCGAGGCTGGGGCTGGAGCCTGGCGGCCATGTTCTCTCTGCCGTCCCTCCCCTCCTGGCTCCCCGGCCTCTCCTCCCTCGAGTGGGGCTCCAGCCTCCTTGATTCCCTCCTGCAAGGTGAGCGTCTCCTCCCGCCCTCTCCCAGCACCTGCTCCAGGCGGTGCTGGGTGGACCCCACCCACATGGGTGTCCTAGCACCTAAGCTGCCCCGCCTGTAACCCTACCGAGCAAGCCCACCCTCCCTCCTGCCCCTCAGGCCTCGTCGGGGCCTTCGGAGTCTCCGTCCTGAACAACCTCCTGAAGGTTTACTTCTTTGTGAGCTGTGCCAAGTGAGTGCCCACCCCCCAGCCCATTCCCAGCCCCTTCTGGGCCCCTGGACCCCAAGCTGCGACTGTGGTCTCTGAGGGAAGACTGGGAGTTTGGTTGGGGGTCCCGGGACCCTCTCCAGGGCCCAGGCTGGTGGTTCTGCCCCTCTGCCTACATCCACTTTGTCCCCACAGCCACCATGAGCGGCGGCTGGAAAAGGAGCGGCTGCAGGCCCAGTGGGCCTCCCTGGAGACCGTGCACTTGGCAGGGCTGGCCCTGATCCTGACCGTCGTGGGGGCCCGGGTAGCCGCCCTGGTGGTGCTGGAGTTCTCCCTCAGGGCCGTCTCCACATTGCTCTCCCTGGGCAAGGTGAGGCCGCAGAGAGGTGGTGGGTGCGCGCTGCCCGGCCCTGGGCCCTGGTTTTCATGGGGAGCTGGAACCCCTTGGGGCATCGCGTCTCCTCGCCAACCCCCTGTTGTAAGATTGAGGCTGGAGTGCAGATTGGTTCCTCGGGTTGTGACCGCCAAGACCAAGTCTCCACTCAGAGCGGACATGAACCCAGTCCATGAAGGTGCTAATGGCAGTTCCCGGACATCAGGAGTTTCCCATATGCTAGATATGTTCAGTGCATCATCCCACTTGTCCTCACAACCACAGGGGTAAAGGTTTGTGTGATCTCCGTTTCACAGATGGGGAAACTAAGGCTCAGAGAGGGTGAGTGGCTTGTCTGTGGTCAACAGCCCACAAGAAGTAGAGTCAGGCTTTGAACCCAGGTCTCCAAGGCTCTGAGACCACCCTTCAGCAAGCACATGGGTCCCAAGTAGTGATCAGGATAGAAAGTTAAGCCAGAGCGAATGATCCCAGTATTCCCTCCTTCGGCCTCCAGCCTCCTGTACCTAGAGCGTCCGTACCTTGACAGCCCTCTTGATGCCCCAGTGGTGAGGGGAGGCCTGAGACCCACCATCGCGGCCCCTTTTCTGCCGCCTCCCCCAGCAGGGCTCGCGGGGCACTGAGAGGCTGCGGCTGTATCTGCTGTGCCCTTACTCGCTGGGCTGTGGGCTGACCTGCGGCCTGAGTTTCCTGCAGGAGGGTGCCTCCCACCGCACGCTGAACCTGCTCCTGGGCCTCGGGCTGGCCGCCCTGCTTAGTATGGCCACCCAGCGCCTCTGCCGCCACGTCTGCCGTCTCTACGAGCTGCACAGCAGCCAGCACTACTGTGGGATCTGCCTGAGCCTGCTGGCAGGCGCACATGGCCTCCCCCGGCTGCTGGGCCGTGCCCTGGCCGTGGCCTTTGCTGTGAGTGACCTGGCGGCTGTGGCCCTCATCAACCGGGACTTCCTGACCACCTCGGAGGCTGTGCGCTTCTGGACCCCGCTCACCATCTGCTACACCCTGCTGGTCATCTACATGCAGGGTAAGGGCCACGGGCAGGGTCCCGGCCATTCTCTCAGCATTCCCATCCCACTGTCTGACCCGGGCCCAACAGTATGGTAGACTCTAGGGAGGCCAACAAGTCAGCCCCCACCCCACCATCCCAGAGTGCCCAGCCTGGTGGCAGAGGCTCCAAGAAGGGTGCAGCAGGCGGTGGGAACCCCTAGGAGATTGTGTTTGAATTGGGTCTTGAAGGGTAAGCAGGAGCCCCCTGAGAGAGGTGAGGGGGGAAAGGAGAATATGAGAGAGGGAACCTTGTATACCAAAGCCCAGAGGTGAGAGAGAGCATGGCAGTCTCAAACAACTGAAACAAGCTGAGTGCAGCTGTCACCCCAAGGGCATGGAGAAGGGATGAGGCTGGCCAGGTTCATAGGGGCCTGATGGAGAGCCCTCATCAGTTAGGCTGCGCAGTTTGATGAAAATCCTTTGCAGGGTTTTAAGCAGGGGAGAGTGACCTGGTTAGATCTGGGCTCTAGGAAGTGCCACCCGGCTGCAGGCTGGGGATGGAGTAAAAATGTCAGGACAAGCGGGCGGTCAGGAAGAGAGGGCAGCAGGTGCAAAGGCTGTGAGGTGGGAACGACCTTGGCATGTTTGATGAAGAATAAGGAAACCGGGATGGCTGGGGTATGCGCAAAGGGGAGCAAGTCAGGGATGAGATGAGGCTGGAGAGCGGGCACCGGTCAGATCCGGCAGGACCTGGAAGGCAAGGTAAGGAGTTGGGAGTTTATTCCAAATGCAGTGAGAAGTGCTGGGGGATTATAAGCATAGGAATGATTTCATCTTGCTGATGTGTTCAGGTCACTAGCTGCTGAGTAGACGCTTGAGTTGTAGGGTCAAGAACGGAAGCCAGGAGCCCAGGGAGGAGGCTGCTAAGAGATGAAGGTGGCTGGGACCAGGGTGGGCAGTGGAGTGGCGAGGCGCGCTCAGGTGGGGACCTGCCTATTAGAAAGAGTTGACAGGGCTTCCTGATGGAGCAGAGTGGGCATGCAGGCAAAAGGAGTCAGGCCAACTCCCGCAGCTCAAGGCTGGCGTGCTGTCCTGACGACAGCACTAGCAGGGGACTTGCGGTGGGCAGTGAGGCCTGGGAGCCAGAAGTGCCTAGCGCCCTGTGGGGTAGAGGTGAGGCAGAAGGGAGAGGGGCTGCAAGGGGAAGGGAAAGCTCACACTAGGGAGGGTGGAGGGAGTCGGGAGGTCCAGCCCCAACCCAGCTGGACCGGAGTCTGGGGCCCTGGATGCAGTGAGCAGGTGGTAACAGGCACCCCACCCCCGCAGAGGAGCAGCGGCTGCACCCCGGCCTGCAGGGCCAAATCCAGACGGTACTGGTGCGCATGGGTGGCCTGTTCGTGCTGCTGCTGACCGTGGGCCGCTGGCTGGACCTCCTGGGTGTCTTCATCTCCCTGCTGGGCGAGCTCTGGTGCCTGGTGGGCGTCCGCACTCTGCTTGACCTTTGCCAGATAAAGGTGGGCACCCCCATCCCATGTGTCCCCCAGACGCTGAACCCCTGCTCCAGACAGCCCTGGGAGTCCCAATAGGCCCAAGTTTAAGAAGAGCTGGAGCAACCTCTCTTGGGGTGATGGTCAGAAGGAGCTGGAATCCCCTCCCACCTGTGTTAACCTTTGACCTGTGCCCCAGAGGCCCCAAATGGGGGGAAGATCTTGGATAAATGAAGGTCTAAGCCTCCTCCGGGGGATGGGGAACTGGGTGGTGTCCTCCATCATTTCCTCCCGTCTCCCCTCAGGATTTTCCATCCCAGAGGCCTTTGGTGTCAGCTCCAGGCCAGCCCCGGCCTTTAGCACCTGCCCAGCCACAGGGGACGGCCCCTTCCTGACCTGCCTCAGCAAGAACTCAGAGTCTATCTCAGGTGCACCGGGCTCACCTGGAGGTCTTGAGCCCAGCACGCTGCCTGGACGCAGAGTGGCAGGGTTGGCCCCCACCTGAAATTTGGGGTGGGCACTGGGGCCCCCCAGGAAAGAGGGGAGGGTTGCGGGCAGGGGCCTTCAGAAGTGGGGCACCTAGAGGCTGCTAGGTTCATCTTTCTTTTTCTCGGAATGGGCCATGGACCCACAGCACCCTCAGACCTGCCTTGGGGGGGACGGAGATGGGGGAGAAGTGCATCCTCAGAACAGCTTCCCCCTTTACTGGCCTCCCTTGCCTTCTCCACGAACAATAAAGATGGTTTTCTCAGCCTGCGCTTAGAATCGTGAACACACAGAAAGGAAAGAGGCTTTTCCGAGACCAAATATTAGCTCTGGCTGAGGCCGGCTCCTGGGATATGTGTCAGGAGTTTAATATTGAGGTGGCTCTGGAGGCGACGGGGTGTGAAGAGGTGGCACCCGCTTGCAGTCCTGGGTGGATGGTGCCCGTCCTGTCCCATCCTAGGCTGAGAAACAGCTGAAGGGAACACGATGCTGAAAGACAAAGACCTCAATCGGTGCTCTTGGGTGTCCTGCCCCTGCCCCTGGCTTGTCTAAGACCATGAGGACGCTTCCCATCTCAGCCCTGGTCAGCCTTACGTCCCCTGCAGGGCCCAGCTCAAGGAGGCCACAGAGTGTGTGGGGAAAAAGTTGGTTACCACCTCCTCTGCTTACCTGCTATGTGCCCTTGGGTAGGCCGCTGCCCCCTTCTGAGCCTGTCAGAACAACTACTATGTTTTGGGTGCTTACCATGTGCCAGGCACTGTGCTGAGCATTTTTTTTTTTATGATCTCATTTCATTCTGACATGATTCCCATGGCTACATGGGAATCACATGACATCATGTGGGAATCACGTGACATCATGTTGGAATCAGGTATTATTCCCTGAGGTAGGGACTAGTATCCCTTTTAACAGATTCAGAAACTGAGGCTCAGAGAGGTTAAGTAACTTTCTCAAGGGTACACAGCTAGTTAGTGGCAAAGTCAGGATTTGAATCCAGGTGGCCTAATCCCCAAAGTTCAAGTGCTTTGCATGCTCCCTGCTACCCTCTTCTTGCTGAAGAATTGGGGCCAGGGAAACTAACAGGGGTGGGCATGAAAAATATGACATGTCTACTCCTAGCAGTTTCTGGAATGTTGTTCTGGCCACCTTTTGTCCAGGGTAGCCTGAGGCTTCATCACAGTCATGTTCTCCTGGCCCACAGGGCAGCTTGGTTCCATGGGGATTGAGAGCCCCAGCTCGGGACCCTTTCTCAGGAGGGTCCCCATGGGGCAAAGGAGACTCCCAGCCAGAGGGCTGCCAAGGGGTTGTGAGGGTCAGGTTATCAGAGTGGCAGGGAAAGCGTGAGACCTGGAGAAGTTTCTTGGAGGATTCTAGACTCCAGTGGGTCTCTCTTCTCAGCAAAGGCCACCATGGTCACCTGAAGGCTACTGGTTTGGAACAGACAGAGCCTGGCCTAGGATTCTCCATGTCTTACCGTGAGGTATATACCTGGGGTACTGGGGCAGGCTGGCCCCAAGGCTGGATGGGTTGGTTTCAGCTGATTTCTCCAGGAGTGGCCACCCAATGGACAGCTCAAGCCCCACCTCTGATCCCTTGCTTTGTCCTACCCCCAGGAGGGGACTCTCAGCCCCAGAGTAGCTGAAGTGGGGGACATGCCTGTGGATGTCCCCTGCAATGCAGGACCCAGCCCCCCTCTGCCTGGGAGTGGGCTCGGTTCCCTCTGGGCAGGAAACCTGCCCTAGTCCAGGAGGAAATGGCTCAGTTAGGTTGGCACAGGGCCAGCCCCTTGCCAGACCCAGACTGGGTACCAGGTTCCAACTGTTCAGATGTTTTTGCTGGAAGTTTCCCTAGCTTCCTGGCCCCCTGCGCAGCCTGGGACCCAGTGGGGACAGGGCTGGGAGGGATTGGACTCTGCAATCCTTTCCTTTTTATGGGCACAGGGACCGTTTTCCAAACAAAAATTGGGCCACGTGGGCTGGAATAGGATTCTTTTCTTATCTACTAATTTTATTTTTGTGAAAAGTCTGACCAGGGTATAAAAATTAGATCACTCTGGGGCATTTAGCAGATCTCCAGGCCAAACAAAGAGAAATGGGCCTGAAGTCTAGAGGGTGGAGGAAGTCCATAAGGTATGGCCTGGAACAGGGGTGTGACGCTGGGACTTGTTCCCACGGCGACCCAGAGAGCCCGGATCCTGGGCCCTGACCGGACTCATTCTGAAGAGGTGGGGGACCAGAGCTGCCGGTTCCCACTAAGAGGGGATGGTAACCTCTGGGTAAGCTGGGATTGGGGTGGGCCGCCACCTCCCTCCTGAGGCCGCCACTGGTGGCTTTTCTGAGCCGTGGCACGGTCTGTCTCCCTGGGTGTCCTGATTCCTCTCCCCACTCATCCATTGACAAGTAATTACTGAACATCCGGTAAGGGGGTACCGTGACGGGGGCTACGGGGCTGGGACAGGTGTATTTGTTATCCAAAGCTGCGTAACAAATGACCCCAAAACTTAGCTGCTTAAAACAACAGGCTTTTATTGTCTCGCTTCTTGTGTGGGTTGGGAATCTGGGTGCAGCTTGGCTGGGTCCTCTGGCTCAGGGTCTCTCGCAGGCCATGGTCAAGGTGTTGGGTGAGGCTCTGATTCAGTCATCCTGAGGCGCGTCTAGGGAAGGATCCACTTCCAAGCTCACTCGCATGGTTGTTGGCAGGGGTCAGTTTCTCGGGCTCTTGGGCAGAGCGCCCCAGTTCCTCTCCACCGTTGGCCGGAGTTTCCCTCAGTTCCTTGCCACATGAGCGTCTCTAGAGGGCAGCTCACAACATGGCCACTGGCTTCCCTCAGAGCAAGCGAGTGAGCGGGAGAGAAAGACAACAAGCAAGATAGAAGTCACGATCTTTTTGTATCCCAGCGTTAAAAGCAACATCCTAGGACCAGCCGAGTGGCGCGATGGTTAAGAACTCGCTTGGGATGCCAGAGGGCCCCGGTTCGGATCCCACATATGAGGGCCAGTGACACTACCCTCTACAGCTAAGATGCTGAACAACAGCTCGACCTGGAGCGCTAACCTGGAGCTGGGCTGCCATGAGTCGCTGGAGTCGACATAGGCTGCAGCCCCTGTGGCAGTGGGTTGCCATGGGCTACCGTGTGTAGCCAGCAGCCAGCGTGAGCGGCCAGCAGCCACAGTGAGCGGCCGTCCAGAAGCCGGCGACTGATCTGCCTCGCCCGGGAAGAGCACAATGATGGTGCCAAGTTGGGCCAGTGTGGCGACGTCCTCCACAACTAGACTGAAGAACAAAAGGACAGCAACTTGTCTGTTCCCCACCCCGCAATTCCCCAGCACTGTCCCGATCCCCCCAATTCCCCAATAAAAGAAAAAAATGTCTCCCGCTGAGAGAACAGCACAGGCAAAGGCCCTGAGGTGGGAACGTGCTGGGGGAATGTTAAGAACAGCAAGAAATTTAGCGTGGCGGGAGCATCACAGAGAGGATGGAGTGTCAGGAGTGAGGTCACAGAGGTGGACAGGGGCCGCCGCTCAGGGTCACTGTGAGGGTTAGGATTTTATTTCCCTGCAGTGGGCAGCCAGCAGAGGGTTTGCACAAGGAGGTGACATAATCTGACTTATATTTTTAAAGGACTTCTCTCCTTACTGTTTTTTAAAATAGAAAAGCATAGAAACAATAAACCAGCTTGGAAATATTTGGAATAACCCAAGTGAGGTGACAGGCATTTGGACCAAGGTGGTAGCCGTGGAGGTGGCCAGAAGTGGTTAGATTCTGGGCGTAGTTTTAAGAGTTGATAGAATTTCCTGATCAATTAGATGTGAGCTTGAGAGAAAGCTAGAAATCTGGGGCTCTTTGATTTTTGGCCTAAACAGCGTGGTGAATGAGATGGGGGACTTCTGAGGGCAGAGTGGAGTTAGCTCACACAGGTGTGGTCACTGTTAATGGAAGGTCCAGGTGTTGGGAGGTGTGTGACGTGGTCTGGGGTTCAGGGAGGCCTCGCTGAGAAACAGCCATTGAAACGGAATCCTGGAGGTAGAAGGGGACTTCCCAGACCAAGGGGATGGCGGTGAAGCCCAGGCAGGCCTTAAGGCTCCTGAGGGACTGAGGACGTGTATAGAATGGGTGAGGGTCACAGTGGCAGGGACGCTGTCACAGAGGTGGGCTGGGGCCGGATTGCCAGGGCCACAGTAGGGGTTTGGCATCCCCCACCCCAGAGCAGAGGGAGCCACAGAGGGACTGTGTGGGGCGGGGGTGGGGGTGGGGGTCGCGGGCTACAATGACCATGTGCTGCTTTAGCGAGATGGTCTGGCCAGTGTGGAGAATGGCTTGTACACCGAGCCAGTCCAATGTTAAGGGCCCCCTTTAGGAAAAAGAATACAACGTTTGTATGAAAATGAATATTGAATGCGAATGAGAAAGAAAAACACAGCAGATTGCTGGAGCCCTAGCGATTTGAGTCCTTTCTGCTGACATGTTTGGGCAGTTTGCCAGGAACACTTAGTGGGAAATGCTTCCTAAGTGTAACCTGGCTGCCCGCTCCCTCCAGAACACCCCATAACTCCCAGCAACCCCAGCCCTCACAGGGGGTGAGAGGCCCCAGCGGAAGTTTCATTACCTTCACAGTAAACCCACCTCTGGCTAAGAGAGAAGTGGAGAGACCAGCTGAGGAGCGTGGCAGGGTCTAGGCCATGTTACACTTTAGTAAGGAGGGGTCTCAGGGTTTGGGGGCACTGAAATAAGATGCTGCCAAGAGTGCAGGCTCCCAGTGGGGTGGGGCTTCAGGGCGGGGGAAGGGATCAGTGAGAGAATGGGCTCAGTGTTGGCAGGCAGCCCAGGGCTTGGAACAAGCTCAGAGACCCCCCCAAAGTAAGTGACGCTAGGATTTCCTCCCGTCTGTCCACAGAAGGGGCTCTGACCTTCAAGGCCAGGGCCACGGAGGGGCCCTCCAAACCTGCTGAGCCTCAAGCCCCCTCCATGGCCCCCCACACACTTCCTACCCTCTCATTCTGGAGCTCGTGCTGATTTGCTAAATGCACGGCCTGGTCATGGGAACCGGCGGGTCCAGCCGAGCCACCTCAGGCCCCTAGACCAGGAGCTGGGAGGCTGGGCCTTGCCTGGCCCAAATGGACACAGGATGGGGCCTGAGAGTGGGAGACTCCATGTGGCTAGAACGATGGCTCCTCTCTGGCTTTTGAACATTTCCCTACAGATGTGGCCTGTTCAGTAAAGGGGCTTGGAGCTAGACTACCTGCGTTCAAATGAAACTTACTAATGGATGTGACCTTTAGTAACTGCAACTGACTCTCTGTGCCTCAGTTTCCCCATTTGTTTAGAGGACTGAACAAGATAATGGAGGGAGGGCCTGACCGCGTCCTCTAGGGCCCCTCACCCCCA